CTTGGATTTTTTCCCTAAAGTTCACCGTTCTCAAGTTATTCATACCAATACAATCCCCTTGCGGCAGACAATTCTAACCATAATATTACAAGAATATTTATTTTTATGCTTAAAAGTAAGTGCAATTTGTAATTACATCAACAAAATTCTTTACACTCGTTGCTTTCATCTTTTTGGATTATCATGACGGAGCAATGAAAGGCACAGAAATGAAATTTTAAGAGCATTTGACAACGATCCTCGGCTAAATACACGAAGAACGTCTCGGCATTTTGGGAGTAAATCGAAAATTTGAAAAGTTCTACATAAGCAGAAGATGGCAGAAATCTGTACCATTTACAACCCGTGCAAAATTTACTTCCGAGAGATGCAGAGAGACGCCTGAATTTTTACCAGTGGTTGTAAGAATTCTTACTAGAAATACTTTGGACCGATGAGGCTACGTTCACAAGGCGAGGGGAAGTGAATTTTCACAATCTGCATATCTGGTCACAAAAAAAGCCTCATGAAATTCGGACAAGATCTTTTCAACGCGAATTTTCTGTGAAAGTGTGTGGAATAATTCGCAATAAAGTTTGTGGACCTTTCTTCTTACCACCCCATCTAAATTCCAAGTCATTTCTAAACTTTCTAGAAAACCATCTATTTGAATTATTAGAGGATGTTCCATTAAATATACGACAAAATAGCTAGATACAAATAAATGGTGCTCCTGCGCACTTTAGGCGAATAATACAAGAATGGCTTAAACAATGTCAACCATAATGCTGCAGAGGGTCCAGTGTCTTGGCCAGACAGATCGCCAGAAGAAGACGGGTGTAATGAATTAAAAGAAAACCACCACATGATATTAGCTTCAATTAGTTCCATTAATACGAGATGTCAGAAAAGTATCGATGTGGGTTAATTTTGTTTCTTGTCTAATTGTTGTTACTTGGTAAGTGTATTTTAATTATTATTTTGATTTAAATTGTTCTTATTTGTAAAGATTAGGCGTCCAAGGTAAACTAAAACACATCAGGAACACTACCTCACAGGTGATATGGAAAGAATTTTGTTGATGTGATTACAAATTGTACTTACTTTTAAGCATAAACATAAATATTCTTGTATTTATGGTCAGAATTTTCTGCCACAAGGGGATTGTATTGGTATGAATAACTTGAGAACGGTGAACTTTAGGGAAAAAATTCAAGTTACCTTTTTTACGTATTTTGTGCATATAAATAGGATATAAATTCGTTATAATAGCTTGTAAAAAATACAGTGGCGTAGGTTTTTTTTATAAAATAGGGGTGACCCTGTCCAGTTGTACACCACTGCCTGAACCTTTAGAGCTCATATTTTAAAGAATTATCATACATTATCTGTACAAAATTTTATTGAGATCGGTTGATAGGTTCCGCAGATATAAATAAAAAAACATTTTTTAATGTTTTTATGTTTATAAGGCAAACACCTATTATTTTAAAGAGATCTATCTGTCCTCGAAGTTTCCTGCATAAAATTCGCACCACCCTGTATACTTGACACCTCTCTTATGTGACATAAATAGTAATTTTCTCATGACACAATTTGATACATTTACTTTCAGCAGGAATTTTTGAGCAAGTAATGAATTATTGAAATGGATGTTACCAGAAAACGGCTCATGCTATTAAAATCTAATGAGTACCTTTTTATGCAAAATATGTTAAATTTTCATAATTTCGGTTCAAGAAGTAGAAAAAACTGCGTACAAAAAAAAATGTGATCTGACATTTTCTTAGGCTGCTGTAGCAAATTTTGATTTGTATATTATGTCGATTAGCATATAAATAGTAATAGAACCCCAAAATTTCACAATTTAATATTAAACCGTTTTGAAGTTATGCAATAAAAACTATTTCCTGAGTTACCCCTTCAAGGGGCTGTATCACCCTTAGGGGCCGCCACTGACAAAAACTAAGGTTTTCATCATATTTCGACATGTTTTACATATTCTCCAATTTTGAGTACCTATTTCGTTAACACATTGTGTATAATTTGTTGGGCATTTTTTGATTAAAATAAATAAATTTAGATCAAGTTACCCTAAACTACTTGTGCTTACTAAAAATGCTACGTTTTTTTTCATTTTAGATTTTCAAACAGGTTTCAATATTCTACTAAATATTGCCAATTACGGGACAACCGAGTTTTGGGACCGTTCTAGTCTAATCAAAGTTGACCTTTTTTGCAAAACCTATAGCTATATTAAATATTTTTTGTCATTTAGGCAAACTTATCTATTTTCTCTTCATTTATTTTGATATTTTTGTACTACTTACTTTTCATGAATTTCAATTCATTATAAAAAATTTAATTTTTTAAAGAAGTTTTCAAAAAAATAAATAAAATTTGAAGGCCAGTAAAAATAATGCCAAGGTAACTTGATCTAAATCGGTTTATTTTCATCGCGTGAAGTGTACCATTCGCTTGAATATTCGGGCACCCCGTATATGCAAATAAGGCTATTTACGTTAAGTATCTTACAATACACAAAGGTTATCAAAGAAGAGTGGAAACAATTTTATCCCCCCTCCAACAATAAATAATGCAATTATCCTGCTTTGTTCCAGAAACAAAATAAATTCGGTTAGGTACCTAAAATTGGATCCGTTTTAAAATAAAATTACTGGTAGGAATTTTGCCTAAGGAGGAGCGTAATTTTCAAACGACCCGGTTAATCACCATCACCAGGTTGCCACGGAACTCAAAACGTTATAAAAATTTTAGATGTGTTAGTTACTTTGACTTGGCTTACTAGCAACACATATACCTATATTATAAATTAAATTGAGAACAATGCGTTTCACACGCAAGTAATTGACATTCATACTGCGATTAGAATGGAATAAGATATTAAGGTAATTATTCATTGGCGTACTTTTAATATTTAATTGACAAGTTTTTCTCTTTAACATACTACAAATTTCTCATATACGAGTATATTTCTTTAAAAAAAATCAAATAATTTGGTTTATTAAATACTTTGTAAACATTTAGATTATCTCCAAAACTTTGCATAACATTTAATTATAAAAGTGCGATTGTATAGCCAATTAAAAAACTCGAAAAATCAGACTTTTTTCAAAAAACATAAGAGAATAGTAATTTGTAGAAAATTGAAAGACGTATCCGAAAATATCATAGTTGTTACCGTAAAGCAGTGGCGTACTATCTTATTTAGAAAAATTAGCCACCGATACCCTGTATCTCCGCCACTGGAGCATGTAAATTTTAGGAAAAGCCCTCAGATTTTGGACAATGTTAACATAAATACATGTGCCCAATTTCAAATTATTTCACATACTAGTTTTTATATTATTTAAAAAAATTAAAAATATTTTTTGAAATTTAACACCCTGTATCTTTTTAACGAAGCGTCCTAGATAAAAACCTTATAGGAAAGACTCCCCTTAAAATTCAACAAAGAATACGAGGTCTCATTTTTGGTCACCATATGTTAATCACCCTGTATAAACCTGACATCTTTTGTTTTTCATTAAACGAAATTTTTAAAGCAGCGCAGCGTTTTGACGAGCTATTAAATTTTTCATAGCATTTTTATGTTACCAGAGGTAGGTTGACCCACAACTGTAAGAGAAAAGAGATTAAATTAGTTTTGGGATAATTTTTAGTTAAATAATTGCATTATTGAATAATGGGTCATATTTTGTTAAATATAAGTCAAAGTAAATACATATTACAGTAATATAGTTTTATTACTAGACTTTTCTATGAAAATTAGTCCAATTTTTCGGTTAATATTAATAATTGCGTTAATAATAATAAACGAATTCATTCCGTGAATAACTTTAAACTTTGTTACTAGATTTAATGCATTTTTCACCTTTACAGTTGTTTATATTTTAATATTTTGTAAATATAGCGTTTTATTGTAACAAGTAATCAAATAGCACCACATTTGTATCATTAATTATTATCAATTGTTAGTCAGAATGAAAAATAAACATAATTTACAAATAAGAACAATCACACACCCCGTACATATTGCATGATAGAAAAGGATTGGTTGCTTGGTTATGAAGTAGTTGAGGATAAGATCAACTCCCTTATTTCTAATCGTTTCTTTGTAAAGGACACCCTGTGTATGTCGGTCCTCTTATTACTACAGTTTTGTACATTTGAACACAAGCAGAATTTTTTTGCAAGACTTTTCTTCACAAAGTGAAATAGGCTGTCGTCTTTTCGACAAAAATAATATTTAAGGAAAAATAAATAATTCCGCTTATACGCGAAATACGAGTATATTGGTTCTATCATTTCATTTATTTATTTTTTTTTCATTTCCGGGAGCCCTTGTATAATTATTGCTCGTTATCAAATAGGAACCGCCCTAAGTCGATCATTTCTGAGCGTACACCGACCACAACCGGTTATTTAACAAGGGCAAACATTTCCCCGGTTATTTTTCAGTTAGTTTGCTTGATTTCCCTCAAGGAGTAATGTATTAACTTCAACGGAAAAACAAAGTTTCCCAGCGTTATAGAATATACAATTTTAAGTCCGTCCAATCGACCTTTTGATAAACAGCCGCGAATCCTCCTATACACCACGGATGTGTTAGACCTGAAGTTTCCGGAAGATTTAATCAAACAAAAAAAGTACAGGAAAAGCGAAAATATGAACACGGCTGCCTCTAACGGATAATATAATTGACTATAATATTTTCATATATTTTATGCAAAAATTAATATAAAACAACAAAAAACATTCAGTTCTCCATTACAATAGAGCTAAGCTAAAACTCCGTATCCGTAATCTTTTCAACAAACCGATTTTATTCCACTTTCGAGTCGAGAGAGTCTCGACTCGAGGTTCGAATTTAAAATTTGGACAGTAGCAAAGTAGCAAACGATCGTTATTCGACTACTAAACTAACTGGAACCACGAATATACAAAAACAATGTCTTCTTGAAATCTTAAAATATGTATTATGTTTAAATTTGTTGCAAGAGGCAGATCGCTGTCACCAGGACGACTACGAAAAGTAGGCAGCTGTCCACAGGACGACCTGTACCTCTACAAAAATTGGGATTAGGCGATGAGCCTAAAAATTAAGCCAAGCATCACCAAGGCTAGTATATTTTCCTTACTCATTAGTTTAAGGCACGAAGATATAACAGCACAACTCGACTTAGTCAATAGGTAGCGTTGAGATCAAACCAGTGAGACGTATGTACCGCCATCTCTGGACCAAGAGCCGCACTAACTTCCATTCGATTCGATGCCAGTACCGTACTTGAAATATTGAAATTGTTATAAATTTGTTCACTAGTGTGTATTTCTGAATACAGTGAAGATATTTGTAAATATTTCAATAATTTAATATACAGGGTGTTCCACAAAAGAGTCATGTAGCAGATTTTTAAGACAAAGTACATGCAATTTAAGTCAACTCACCTTACTTCGTTTAAAAATTACAGGGTGTTTTTTTTTTTAGCGAAGTCTCCCTCAATATTATATAACAAAAGTTACGTAGTTTTTACATAAACGGCAACAACAGATCTTATGAAAATCGACTCATCTTAAGAGAGAATAAACTAGTTGTTAAAATATTTCGTTTTCCCTTAAACACCCAACTAACACAAATGCTACTATTACATCACTCAAAGTTATATAACTGTTTTTTAATAGCAGCAAATGTACCTTTTTAGATTCTTAATGCCTTAATAAGGTGTTAATTTGCTCTTATAGCTATTTTGTTATATAAAAAAGCTGTTAGAACATTCTAATAGTAAAATTATACGACAATTTTATAAAGGCTTTTTTAGAGACTTATAAATGTGGTAAATGAAACTTCTATAAAAGTTTAAATCGTAATATCTGATTCCTTGTTTGTTATAATGTTATATAAGCACTTATCGGTCAATTGGTAAAGCATTAATATAATATATTGATTGCACTATTAATGTTCAATAATATTATCATTTAAATAGACTATATGACTAAATTATAAATTATTTTAGCTTTTTATGGTAAATAATATCACAACGAACTTTAAAAAATAATCTATAAAAGGGTTTTATTACAGCTGTAAGCAGAATAGTTAAACAGTTTCTTCTCACCTAAAAAGCTATTTTTAAGTGGTAGAGCAATATATATTGTACTTATAAAACCACTATATAGTAAAGCTTAAGCATAAAAATATATATGGAGATTGTCCCTAACCTAAAAATCAGTGAATCAGAAAATTTGTTTGTAGTAATAAGTAAATGCTGTTACAATTTGTTTTTATGGCTATAGCATTTTTAACGTAATAAGTATTTTAATAACTTTCATGGGATACTTCATGCAGTGATTTTTTTTTATCGAAAATCAAGCGATATTCGAAAAATTGACGTGACAGGTTTTTCAGGAAAACACTAGAATTATTAATTTTAATCGTATTACGTTCAAATAAGCCCTTTATTATTGCAAACAATCGTACCAAGTTTCATTAAAATCGCTGAAAATGTAGTTTGTTTATGCGATATGTCGTTACTTTTACAGTCACTGCAAAATTATTTTGTGCTGCAAACAACAACATTAAATACTGTAATACTGTTTACTGATTATAATAATTTCATTAATTATTAATTATAATTAACATTAACTGATAATGATTTCATCTTTAGACATCCATTCACGTCTCATTTAGAATGTATTCGTTGTTTGTGACCCATAAGCGGCTGATTTGCCCATATATGATTATGCTAACTTGTGACTGTGACAGTACTCCGTACATTTATACTCTACTAAATTAGTTGAAAGTGTTTTATCATTCAAAATCTTCAGAGTTTCTTTCAGAACATTTTAAAATACAAGAAAGCACTTAACAATGTTTACTAGCCATAACATCTACCCATCATATTTACATTCTACTCTACTTTACTTTACTATTTGTTGCCTAATTTAAAAAAAACTTCTTTTCTGTTGACGCCACTGGAATTGTAGCAGTAAGCAGTTTACGCAGAATTTTTAAATTGACAGCAAATTACAAAATAATATATAAAATATTTAAAATCTTAATTATTTTATAATAGATTTATAGTTACTGTGGTAGAAACATCCTCCTAACGACCATATTTTTCAAACATGCTTAGGACAAGATGTCAGCCATATTGTACACCAGAATTACGCCAAAAAGAAATTCAATTTCAAATAATTAGTTTAATGCATGTCTATTGAATTATATTTAATAACTTATTATGTACATATTCTTTATTTTTTGTTAAATCGAAAATTGTGTCATCATTTTTCAAAATTTATTACAGATGATTGCCAAATTTGCTTAATTTTAAAGGCCCTTATTTTTTTTTAAAGGTATCGTGGTATATTTCATCAATAAAATTTTCGATGCAAATAGTTTTTGACTCTCTAGAAACATATTTAATTTTATTGTTAATGACTGTATATTGGTAAACATTAACTCTTGAGTATCTATCTTATGTGGCCAACAATCAGCCATAGCCCAAAGCTTTTATTAATAAAACGATTTAGTATATAAACGCATATATTATATTGCTAAAAGGTTTTATTGTACTGTATGTTGGAAACATTCATACAACATTCATCGAGTTCAAGTTGAAAAAATAGCTTTTACAAAACACGTATAATAGTATATTATTCAACGGGCGTATAATGGTATGGGTATTATTCACGAGGTGAAGTTTACGGCCACGAGCCGCAGGCGAGTGGCCTAAATCACCGAGTGAATAATACCCATTATACGGGAGTAGAATACTATACTTTATCCACGACTACTAAATATTTTTGTTGAAGTTTTTTTTGAAATGTTTCGAAAAACATGGTATGTTAAGAAACAGATATACGACTCGCACAAATGAAGTCGCTGATGGCTCAGTGTAGATGCTCTTTCCCTTCCAACCGCGGGTCCCGGGTTCGAATCCGGTCTAGGAAAATTCACTTTTTTAATTTTTTTTTTATATGTACAGCACTGAATTGAAAATATTTAGTGGTTTACACGATAAAATTTTAAAAACGGATTGTTTGTAGCAGAACAATATAATATTATAGCTAAATTAAGGAAGCATCTGACAGTAGTGATTAATGACTCATTAATCACTGCCGTGATTAATGGGTATTATTAAGGTCGAGCAAACAGACGTATAATGGGTACATTATACAATAGTCGTGGATAAAGGTTATTATTATATCACCACCATACAGCTACTTCGTAAATAGCAGGCCAGAAAACAACAAACCAGCAAATTTGTTTTATAAGACAATAGTGTACATCGGTTATACAGCCTATGTTTTCTGTATAAAGCTTTTATAGTATATTTTATAAATGCTGTAAGAATATAACGAAAGAACACTAATTAGTGGAGTATATATTGTATGCACAGCTTTTATAAAATGGTTTTATAAGCTGCGCCTATTTTGGATTTATAAATGCTTATTTAATACTGAATAACTGTTCTCATCGTCTTTTAACAAAGCTTTTACCTGTGGGAGAGTGGTTATATAGATATTCTTAAAGCGATTATAAACTTATTTGTGCTACTTGGGAGTCAGTTTAGTACTTTACGCCCCTGTTTCCTGCAAATTAGTCGCTCTCTTAGAGAGAAAAATTTTTGTCTTAATAGAAGCAATTTTGGGTTCAGATAATTTGACTTAAATTGAATAATAATAGAATATTATAATCACAATTTAACCAAAAAAATGACAGTCTAATTAGATACAAGCGTCATTTTTTATTCTAATTCTGTCCGATTTTCTTTATGATTTTTGTTTGTTGGGCCACAATTTTAATAAGACTCGCTCTATTGTTAAAAAAAAACAAATATTTTGTTCGAAACACGGAAGAAACACAGCACTAAATTCCTCAGAAGTTGTAGCAGGTGAAATTAAGTCAACTAAATTCTAGCCGGATGTGAACTCTATCAGTAAACGGATCTAGCAAACCTGGAAAACAACGTCGCCTCGAATAAAGGCAACTAGTTATAACTTTGAAACTTTGACTGTGGCTTAATGGTGACGTCTCGCCTTGTTCGTAGGGAAGGATTTTTAATCTTGAAAGTTAAACCTTAGACGACTGTGAGATGCAGATATCTGAATTTAATTGGACATTACTATTAGCTTTATTACAGAGATCCGCAGTTTAGAGAAGGTTGCTGTAGACCACAGGAGATTAGAATTATGCTATTCTTAAATTAATTAAATCGGATTTGCGTCCTCTTTAGTCTATAAAAGTATTCACAAAAATAAAGAAGGTATCTTTTTATTGGAAGGTATATTTTTTATTGAAGAAGCTTTTTTTATTGAAGACAATTTTAATGTTTCTAATCAAACATTTTGGAGGATTTTGACAGAGGAGCCTCACTATGAGGACATGACCTTTTAAAATCAAATCTACATTCGAAAGGTGATCTTTTTTCTTTTCAGAAATTACATTTAGAATAGTAATTGCTATAACATTAATTGTAATAAATATTAAGGTTAGAAAAAAAAATTATTGAAAATCAAATATATGTAATTAATATACAAATACTTGTTTACCAAGTCTATAAATAGAAATTTAAAATAATAACCATACAACATCAACATAGAACTAAATGCTTGTACAGGGTGGTTGATTTTCGATAGTTTTATAGGGTACAGCCAAAACGGTGATAGATACAAAAAATCTGATATCGATGTCCGGTCCTCTTTTTTTGAGTTTACTTCGCTGGTCCCAAAAGATCTTGGCTAACTTGATTAGTTTTAGATATACAGGGTTTTTTTGAAAAATGGCCCATTTACATTAACCTCTCTATCTCCGTTGTCATTCAATTTAGAAGAAAAAAGTGTGCACATTATTTGTTCTATTTTTTATTAGGAAGCCATTAGCNACCATTTTTATACTTTTCAAAATTAAAACCAAGTAATAGACGTTTAACAAGCTTTCAATCAGTCAAAAATAAACTAACTGTCAATATTAAACAACAAAAGACGAATAAATAAATAACATGGCCAACTGAAAAAATATCTATATCTACATTTTTGCATTTTTCTTCATTTAGGCAAATAAAAAGTATCTATTATTATGTATGGCTGAAAAGGTAAAAAAAAATGCTACTCAACGGGATGGCCAAATACAGGGTGTTCTATTTAAAAAAACCTATGTTT